GGTGACACTCCTACAAAAGAGAGGTACTACAATCCCCTGGGGGTCAGTGATAAAATAGTTTTTCCACTAGCAGCATCATATGAGTTCTCCATGTCTGCGAACGCAGTATCCCATGCTCCGTGAATCATATTCTTTTCCTGCACTTAGTGATGGGACAGGCAAAGAGCAGAGTAGTATTCTATGTTCACTACTGGAAAATCAGCTGCCGAAATAGGTAGAAAGAGAGATTATGTGACAGAACAGCAGGTTCAAGATATCCCCACAGATGGTGTCTACCCGTATGGCTTCGGCCCTTTGTAATCAATGGCAGCAGGCATTTTCCATTGTGTTGGAGGCTGGATGTCCAGTACTCTCAAGAACTTCTCAAATTCAGCTAGGGCAGTCAATAAGTCAAAGATAACTTCAAGCATAAACATTTTATTCGACCTATGTTTCTAAAATCATCACATATACTTAATAAAAGTTTGCATATTATGCCATCCTTTTACACTCAGGATAGAGCCAACGATGGTGGTTCAGAATGTTTGGTTGTCGCTGGTAGGGAGGTGACTGATTACAATTGATTGGTACTTGGTGGTGCCTTTTGCTTTTCATTCCTCCCATTGCTCTAGGACACTGATTGTGTCCTGATGTAAGTCCTATTATATGGGTTAATCCCCAACAAAACCGTGCCATTTGGTCTATCAAACTTCTTTCGCTCACCATATTTTGAAGGCCGTGAGTGGTTGGCAACTGGCTTCCGAGTATTGACTCTTTAGAATGGTGTTATTGTGACGCCTGTTACTAGTGTTACTTGTAGTGCCATTGTGTGCTCGCGTTAATGTCTGTGTAGGGTCTAGACTTACTATTGCCATCGGTGAGCTTAAAGTTATAACTTTGAGTCTTTTTCCCCTTTCAGTTTTCCTTTTTTTAAAGTCGATTTTATCTGTGGACTGATTTCTGAATACAAATGGTGAACTTAAGCATAGTTTGCTATCAAATCCTTTTAAAACCCCTGCTTTATGGCTGGTTGACGATTCTGTGGACTTTCGGGGGGAGGTTGGCGTATATTTTTGTCTCAGCGCTACCTACAGACACGTCTGCATAGACAGTGCTGGTAGTAGGATCATATTATATGTGTGACTACAAACTAACAACCCTTTGGCTACTGTGTGTTGGGTTCTGTGGAGATAATTTGGTGTGGTCCAAAAGGATGAAGTCTGAGTTCTTTTGTAGTAATTGAAGGGTATCGTGTGTTGGCGTTTTGTAATGCCACATTATTTTTATCATGAGACTTACTGAGGTGATTGTACATTCATCTTTCATTCATCGGTTTATCAAACACAAATTTTGTTAGTTATTGGTGAGAACGCTGTGATACAGTACATCGTGAGTTAACAAGTTTTCAACCCCTAGCTGTGTTTCAAACTAAAGGTATATTGGATGGAAGTAGTCTAGTCGACTCTTTTTCAGTTTGTAGCATTTGTCTACGAGTTCTGTATTTTCATTCCCCTTAGCAAGGTGCCTTGTATTGAATTTAAGCTCTGAGCATCAGGTGCGCTGTAAACAATCCCATTCAGTTTTATATCCAATTGTTCCTTCACTCCTGTAGTGACGAAATTCGTGGGGTCGCCTACCTTAGCTACCAATCCTTTGGCCAGTCTCAATCAGGGCGCCCAGTGGTATTAGTCTATGGACCTGTGACTTCGAGCTACAAATCCGTGTTAATAGTCCGCATATACCAGCCTAATTTTTTGAATATTCTGCATTCATAGTCTTCCTACACTTTATTTCTCAGATCTCAGCCTTCAGTTCTTCTACAGAAAAATCTAATCATCTAGTTTCTGAAGAAAGCATCGATGATGATCACGGTGACTGACAGATGATGACACATACATAAAGCGTGTTGAGGGAGTCATTATGGATGTCAGGTGAAGCATTTCTAGGTGTGGTGCTGCTACTAGCCATGAGCATGAATTTATTCTTCGTTCTAGAGGCTTTAGATGGAGCTTATATGGTACATTGTCACTTAAAGTGGACTTGTATGCTAACTGACTGACTATCAATGCTTGAGGGTGTGTTGAGGCTTGGTTTAGCAAGCAGAGGTGTGCTATCAGTCGCCAGTTTAGCGGATGACAGAATTCGTAGCTATTTTCGTTGACCAATCACAAGCATTTTATATAATGATTAATGGTTACAAGTACTGAGCTAGAAAAACGCTTGTGCAAGGCTTACAACAAAGATAGTTAATGCAGCATGAGTCACGCCAAGATGTAGCCCAAAAGTTGAACGTGGCACATCATTTCTTCAATCCGTGTGATACAGTGAGTAAAACATTCATACCACCTTACAGCACTTGGCGTATGTCAAAATACAAACATTTAATACTTCTTATCTGGCATGTAAGGATGTGTCTCTGCATTGCTTATCCATTTCATAAGGCACAGGAGTTAGTAAGAACGAACCCATTTTTTCTGAAAATAAACATTCAATGCTCATGTCTACCTTGGCCAACTATAAGGTAGTCAAAATCCTATTCGTCTATGGTTCTGAAGCATTGTAATATTCCCTCATACCTCAACTCTGTCTTATTCAATATTCTTACCTGTTTAAGACAACATCCGATTTGCATCACAAAAGTGCTGTTATTACCCACCCTTTGGGCATATAATGGGCTTTCTCCGCTTATGTTCAACATTATCCTTCACTATTCCTCATTCCATGCATTAAAAATTCACGCCTGAAAATCTAAAGTCCAGATTTCACAAACATTTCACGCAAAAGTTTTGTTCGGCATCTCAAGTGGATGTGCTTTCTGTGTAAATTGGAATCATCATTAATATTTGGAGCATATTATTCAACCTCTTGATTCAGTCATGTCCTGTTTTTGTTCCTCATGTGAATACTATACTCAGAAGAAGCTAGTAGTGCTACGGAAGGGGGCTGGTTCTTGCTTTGGGAGGGAACATTTTGTGCACGTTATTGTAGAAGTTCCTTAACAGGAAATCACTCAGCCGGGAAGATTTTGTTCTACCTCAAAAGTGTCTTTGTTCTTCTTACATAACCCTGAGACCAAAGATAAGAGTGCCCTTCTTGCCACATTTTACCTTCATCTGTCTTTTTAAAAAGATTCATTATATACCAGGTTGTTCTGGGCCCTGTCATTTCTTCGTTAATTTGGAATGCCACTCACGAACTCTGAATATATACGACCATATTATGTCCACCAGCTACTGAAGAATTGACACTTTTCCTGAAATGTCGGCATCGTGTTATAGATCATCCACTTATTTGGACGGAAAATTTTACGCAACTTTGAATTTCGCCGGTTAACAGTATCATCTACCTTATAATTAGAAAAGCAGTTTAATTAATCTGTCAGTGGCTCTTGCAAAATGCATGACTTAATTGGTCTCTTAATTGATATTCGGCCTTACTGCTTTGTATGTAATGGAAATTTTTTTGAAGTGTTATGGACCACTTAAGGTCCCATCCATTCACGGAATTAATATTTACAAACAAACTAGCTTAAGGCACTTACGCTTGCCCATCCAAACACTGTTCTCAAACTACTAACTTTACTGCCTGTAACTGTGGCTCGTTGGAGTTTCACTCTGAGAACAGTGTGTAAAATGAAGTTCAGCGCATCAGCACTTTCCATCGAAAACTTTTCAGTAAGTTCGCAATGTGATTTTTTAGTAGCTTTCCATAGTTATGTGATCGAAACGTAGCCTTAGTCCTCGAAGCCTAAAATTATGGATGCTTTTATGCCAGGTAAGCTTGCTTGATGGCGTCGAAACTGAACTTGCATCCAGCACATGACGCTGAAATGACCTTACTTTGGTCCCTGAGTTTATTTCATTAAACGTCACCACTGATCATGACACTTTCCTCACCTGATATTTCGTATTACGAATCAAAACTAGTCAAGACTTCGGTGACTTAATGTATTACACACTTAAGTCCGAAATGAATTTGCTTTTAAAATTGATATGCCGGTCATGCAAGTGCTTCTACGTGTATACAGAAAAAATCATTTTCATTATCGACTATATTCTAGCAACACTAAATCCTGTTTATCATCACAGCAACCGGTAGATTGTTTTCACTCGTATTTAAACAATTTAGAGAATTTAAACTATAAGTCATCAGTGCTGAAGTATTCACAGACGGTGTTTCTGCACACTGTAAGGCGGAAATTTCCGCAGACGCCGAACCGAATCAATCCCATACAAGTGTGCATTCCATTGACCAAAGCAAATGATCGTTAGACCTTGTTGTTTCGCTCCAAGATGTGCATGTAATGTTCAGATTATTAGAAGTGCACAACTTCGTCAGCAGCTGCAAGCAGTAATATGGTGAAGATTAAAATTTACCCAGTAAAAATAGTAGACTCTTTATTCTGAACAATAATTTCACACGGATTCGAACTATCAGCTTTCCATTTTTGTGACACATTTACTAGTTCTAAAGGTAGGTTTAAAATAGGCATCAACAGAAACTACAGTATTTGTGCTCGATTTTGTGGAACAAAAAAAATGTGATAGGTCAAAGTTGTGAGCGAAATGACAGTTTTGATCAAGAACATAAACAAATGTGATTTTAGGCAATTTGTATCTTATGGAGGGGGGGGGGATTGGTGGCTTGAAGTTCAAGCAGACTGCGCAATTCAGTGTGCTATTTTCAACACTGGAGCTGACAAGTTGCACACGAGGTTCTGATGTGATTTACGGAATCGTCTGCTCTCTGAGTTTTTAGAAACATTCTTACGTGACTCACATGTATTCCCTCAAAATGCCAGCTAATATGATACTTATTTATGCTTTAATGAATGTCAACTAGCCATATTAGTTCTCCGAACTGTTAAAAATTGCTTACAGATAATATTCCAAATTTTATAATATACGAACCAATTTACTGAGTAGATTAAGGCACCTTTCTCGCACTGAAAGTAGACAAACCAGATGGAAAACGCCACGAATTTCACCTGTCTGCAAAATGACGGAAGCCAAACAGTGTTTCTCCCTAAGGCGAATCACTTGGCTAGCAAGCCCTTCACAACGTATTCTCTTTGATTTTTATATGACTGGCACACCTTTGACCAAAACTGAGAGATGTAAACTATAGTTAAGTGGCTTATGATTTAGAAGACTGCTCGCACTACCTGTTAGGCAAAATGATTATTACATAGACTTTAAGGAGCATCCACTACATAAATCTATTATTCATTAGCTTATAAGCTATCACCTTCAAATGGTAACCCTTGCTGAGTAATTAACGGGGATAATTACTCCGAAGTCAAGATTACTATCATAACAGTGGCATAGCACTTGTAATTTCTCTTCACAGTTTTCTCGACAGAAAAGGGAAATGTGTTCATTCAGATCTATGAAACTGAGGTTGGATGATAAAACGGAGTAATTGAAGTAAGTCTACTGATAACACTAGCCTTTGCAGTACCAGTTGTATGTAGACGAAGAATGAACGAATAGCGGCATATACGATTAGAACATTGTAGCGGTTGGTTTGACCCTGATGATTTGGTTGGAGGATGGGACTAACTTTAACATTTCAGCATAGTAATCCAAGTCCAAAAAGTTGGTCAAATATGTAGTTTATATTTTTAGAGTCTGAAGATATTACCAATAATCCTCAGTGGCCTTCTAAATTTGTTGACTTACACCATTTACCAGCTGAACTTGCACTCAATGTGTTGTCCAGACTAAATGCCACTGATTTATATTTAGCTTCTTGTGTGTGGTATGATTTGGCCTATGACGAGGTTTTGTGGAGAAGGTAATTTTTACTATTTGGGTAATTAGCAGTTTGTGTAAGGCGTCATGGCCGTTCTGCTCAGCTTATAATAATGGAGTGTTGCAATCCGAACCATCATTTCGTCGGCTGTATCTGAAATTAGATGAAGCACGTCTAACTTTCAATGCGGATGCGTTTGAAGTGAGTTAGGTGTGTTAATTAATTTCCAGGGTATGGCATACATGTTCAAACACCGGTTGGTTGATGATAATATTGATGACCTTGTGAACTTTTTTCACTCTGCAGTTGGTCTAGACCCATTTCAGAAAAGAAGATTTTTGGAGACTAGGTAATCTCAATTGGTAAGCTTTGATATGTATTTAGGCCACAGGTTTTGAGGGGATTGATGAACTTGAAGGACTTCCGGAATCATTCTCTCCCAAATGCTTTGCGACGTCTTTTTGCTGAATTGCCGGCTCCACCATCAGGACCAGGTGCATCTCCGTTTATTCACCTTCTGGTCAGTATGTTTTCTGAAAGGTTTACTCAGTGTAACCCGGACCTTGGCATTACACGGGGTACGTTTCCTGTTATATTTTATACCAATATGCTGTATCCTCTTATTGGTTAAAAACTTCCGTTTGAAGTCTTTTTTTAATTAGACTGGACTCAATTGTTCTTTTTGCCTGTTAGCGTATGATTTCATAAGCAATAAAGTGAAAGAATTAAAAGACTATTGGACGAAGTTAAAGTATTATTGATATTAGATGGTTGGAGGCAATCGGCCAAAATCAAAGTCACCTTGAACGACCATTCCGAACTTGGGTGAAAAAGAGTTGCAAAATCGTTAAAGATATATTTAAAAAGTATTGCAAACGTGATATCGCACTGGATGATTGTCTCTTATATGTTGTAAGAATATCTTCCAGTTACTTCAAGGATAATCTCTAGAGAAATCAAACTATACATGATAGGTGTATTAACGCAGCTGACTGTAGGTCATGGTACTTCGGGATCCATTGACATTCCTGACTCAATGTCGGAAAAAAGTGCTTAGTAAATAAGTTAAGATTCTGTACATAACCTCACGGATTTTCTCTTATAGAATGAACTGCATCCATAGAAATATTTGTCTCTCAAAATTGTATTGTTCTATTGGCATACTATCCCTGAACTTAAAAAGGCAGGTATGATTTAGTGTGGAATAAAATTCGTAGGGTTCCCTAAATGTAATTGGCTCTTGAGAGCTAAATTTCGACAGACCTTGACTTTGGCCGTGATACCTCATCGAATACTTGAGTAGTTTTTTTTTCTTGGCTTATATTTTTTGCTCTAAAGTTATCTTCTGGTAGCTTCGTTTATTTTCACGGATTTGTCATGAAGTAGTTCAGTTTCGTTCTATTCAAATTTTTGTAAGAAATATCATCACTAAGCTGTTTTATAGTATTTTTAGTACAGCAGATGTATCTGTCAAGCTAAAGGTGGTATATTAGTTAATAAGAATATCAGCTTGATATTCTACTTTACATTCGGGAGACCGTTGCATTTCTTTATCCGGGGAAGTTAAAGTATCATAGCTAAAGTCGAGGTCTGTGGAAAGTTAACCTTCAAGAACCAATCAGATACAGGAAACTTTATGAAAAATCGTTCCAAATCAAATCATGGCTGCATTTTGAATTTGGTGAGGGCAGATACAGTACTCTATTTATTCCCTAAGTACTGTTCTGTAAATCTCTACCGTCAGGTAGGGTAATCATCTTTAAGATTAAGGTTAGGATTACGGTTATAGTTAGGGGGAAGCTAAAGAACAGTATCAGGAATATCAATGAATCTCAAACTATCATGATCTACAGTCATATAGATGAATACATTAATGGCGCATGGCATGATTTCTATTTACATCATCCGTGTAGTGACTGGGAGAGATTCTTATAAAGGATAGGCGAAAATTATCCACTGTAATATCACGTTTACTGTGCTTTTTTAATGCATTTTTCAACGGTTATGCGATATTTTGCACCTGAATTCAGATTGGTTGTTCAAGAGCAGTAACAACACTCAGTTGCCCTTAAGGAATTAGGGCCTCGATAATCGGACAAATGGACTGAAAGTTGGGTGCTTAGACCAGCAAGACACGTCTTATAAGTCTTCATGATATGTGGAATTATCCAGAAGTTATATGATAGTGCGAAGCGCTTACATTAAATATGCGACCATGGTGGTTAACACCGTAAGGTAATCACACTCAAGGTCTATGTGACCACTATGCTAAGTGACCTTGTTAATAAAACTTAGAATATAAGGCTTATCGAATTTTTCGAAACATTAACAAAGAAAATTCCCTACATGTAATATATTGTGAAATTTCTAGATAAAATATGTCGGTGTTTTTGATTGAAGAATGTTCGGATTTATTCAGAGATGAATGTCTCAGTTTCTTACTTAGTGTTTTCCGACAAAGGTTGGATAATTAGTTCACGTACGAATTTAGGTTCTACAACAATAATCGACTAGTAGTCCATTGTTTCCAAGTTTACTGTGCTACAAATTATAAATGGACTTAGCTAGTGATTGTTTTGTGGATGCAACTCATTTAACAAGTATTGCGAGCTACAATGAATATAAAGGCTTGTGATACCCCAGGCCAAAGTACTCAATATGTAGTTTGAGCTCTTGAAAAGTGATTAGAAAACGTACTTCAACTGATTGGTTATTCTTCCATGATGTAGTAAGTGCAGTAGGGGAAAAAGTGTTTACTTTAAGTTGACTTCATTCTTATTATTTGCTAGGATTGGATATTGTTTGCTGAAAAATCCAACTGTTCATTGTATAAAATTAATTTTCTGGAACTGTTATTAAATAAAGTTTTTTCTGAATGCACAAATAATAATCGAACGGGGCATCAGCAAAGAATAGAAAACACGGTCAAATGACCTCGCTTAACATTACAAGTGGATGCTTCTCATAATCTTAGTTGCAAGTTTCATCCTAATGTTAATCATAACCCTGCCTCAATTCTACCCTAACCTTAACTCTGAATTAAAGTGAAACTTGTGACTAAGGTTATGCAAAGCGTCCACCTTAGTACTGAGCTATCCGATTAGTTGGTTCAAGGACACTCGGCTGTAGTGTCTCTTCTTCACTGTTGCCCCGAACGGTTTGCTCACTGTTGATTCTGGTTGTGATGTGTACACACCTGATAAAGAGAAACTTATTATCTTACCTCCCGTGAGAGTGCGAAAGATTTAACTCAAGATTCAAATCGGAGCTGAATTACCCAAGCTAAATAGAATCTACTGACATGTTCAGGAGATAGGCCGAATATGTTTTTAGCTGTTGTTTGTCATACGTTTAGTAGATATGCCTATCCTTGTTTACATAGTGATTGAAACCTGTAAATTATGCATTTCAAATAAATGAAGTCCCATTTGCAATAATTTATGCGCAGTAGTTAGATAGAGACAAGTTCGTATAATAAATAATTTATTTCATAAGGTAGCTAAGCACCAGTCACTAAATCATACTGATTTGTTTCTTTTAGATGAGGTCTATCTACTGTGCTTTTCAATGATCATGTTATCAGTTGATCTTTGGAGTCCATCAATAAAAAACAAAATGTCTAAACGTGAATTTATTCGTAATACAAGACAAGTAGTCACTACTGTATCAGATGAATTCCTCGGTAATCTATATGATAATGTATACATTGTTGGTCATGTTGTACTAATCGACTGTTCTGGACCTCCTTTCCGTCATCTTGAAGCCAAAGCAATCCTTATTAAGAATCAACCTTTGCCATTATTAGCCTTTTGACAAAGTAATCATTTACCGTTTTTAACTTAACTGTGATTTATTTTCATAATCTCATGTAATTTTTTAAATTTCTCATTACACTTTTATCCAGAAAAATGAAGCCTTTTCAATTAGTTATTTGTATAATAATTTGTGTGAATAATATTCCATTTTAGTGAATAAGCTTTTTTACTATGAGTTATTGCATAATAGTTGAGCTCTTAACTGATCGTTGAAGAAATTCCACTTTGTTGTATGTAGGTGATCAGATAAAGCATATTTAAAACGAAGTGTTCCATTTTGGTAAGAAGAAACTAAGTAGTAATATTAGTTAGGTTTCGTCTCGGCTACGTAGAACACGTTCATCTAAGATAGAAATTCAAAGAGATATGAATATATTTTTGAGGAAACTATCCTCGTGTATAACTACTTATGAACAAGTTTTCTACATCAGGCTGTATGGTTTCGTCTTTCTCTAAAGTTTGAAAAGGTTCTCAGGTGTATGGGTTTTCTTTAAAATCTCTGTTCAGATTAGTCTTCATATACAAAATTATGTTAGTACCATTCACTTGATTCGATGGCGACCTATGTACCGATAATACTTGTAGTGTTTTTCATTTATTCGTCTTTGGTGTTGTCCGTGTATTTATGTTCGCAGTTTTAATTATCATCATTAAAGTGGGTAGTAATAAATGATGTTATTCCCTGGAAATAAAGGTATGCTAAACTTAATGACGTTTTCTTCAAAGGTCTTTCACTTTGATGTTTTTAGTATCAGTAAGAGGAATTTTCAGTTTCCTAGTTTCCAATACCCATTAAAAAATGTTTATACAGTATTACTAAACCATCATCTGAACTACAGATTTTATATATTTTCATCAACGTATCTCGTGATCGGCAATCATTTGTTGTTTAGCTTCATAGGTGATAATGTGATTCCCTTGGGTTCCGAGTGGAACATAGGGTTTCAACAGCACATCTCCACTTTGCTTTGTTCTCTACAGTCCTATTTAGCTGGTTCAAAGATTGCCCATAGGCTATCATCTCACATGTTCCCCATATCACCCCCAAACGCTCAACTCGTCGCTTATCATTCGGGTTCCACTCGAGGGTCTGGCGCGTGATGTCACCTAATGGTCTCCTCAGCGTGTGTCTGATCCATCTCCATTTCATGCGGCAGACTTGTTGGGTGGTACTTGTTGCTATTTATTCCTGACCGGCAATCTGGTCTTCAGTATGGAGGCAGTCAAGACAGCTATTTATAAAACTCTGAAGCCTGTTCGAAATGCTTTTTGTAACGCGCTCGTCAAGTCTCTGACCCATATAGAAGAACTGATTGACTGACTTCACATTTGTATTGAAAATCCGAATTTTGTTCTTTATGCTGTGGAGTGCAGAAGATTTACAAACTGATTTCAGGGTGATAGAGGTCTGTCTTACCTTTCCAATTTTGGTTTTCACATTCTCATTAGGGCCGCCTTTATTTGAAACGTTGCTGTCTAGATAAGTAAAGGAAGTGACCTCTTTCATATTTCCCTCGTCGATGGTGATTGGTGCTTGATTTTGTTGGTTGGTTATCTTCATCACCCCTCTTTTCTCTATATTCAACTGGAGTCCTATATTCGCTTCCACTTCTGACAACTTGTTGGTCATCCCCTGTAGGTCGTCGAATTCATGTAACACTAGACAAGTCATCCGTGAATTCCGAGTCGTCTAGAGTCTTTTCGTCGGTTCAACGTAATCCTGTATCCTCTCTCCTCACACATGATGTGCTGCACATATCTGTCCACCACAATTAAAAGTGCCATCGGTGATAATAGGCAGCCATCCTTGTCTTACTTCTGTAGTCACTTCAAACACTTCGCTGAGTTTTCCGTTGTGGATCACTTGACATGCGGCGGTGTCATTTAGCCGCTGAAGGATGTTGACAAAGACTTGAGGTACGCCGTAGTGTTGAAGTAGTTTGCAAATTGATTCTCGGTTTACACTTTCGAAGACCTTTTCAAAGTCGATGAAGTTGAGGTAGAGGTTTGACTGCCTTCTATGCTTTGTTCAATGATGGTGCGTAGAAGTACAATTTGATCCTTACATAAATTGCTTCTCCTGGATTCTGCTTGTTCCAGGTGGAGTTCTGCATCCAGTGCATCTTCTATTCTCTTTGGGATGACCCGACTTAGTATTTTACTTGGCCGCTACATGAGCATGATACCGTGCCAGTTCTTATAGAGGTCGAAACCGCCTTTCTTCCAATCACTAGGTACCTTTTCTTCCCTCCAGATTTTTAGCAATAGTGGAGTGAGTATATATACTGCAGTGCTGCTGGAGGAAGTCCGTCTGACTGTTCTGCCTTCCCGGTTGGCTTTCAGTAGCTTCAATGCACTCAAGATTCTTGCTTTTATTGGATTGTCGGTGTCCACTGGCAGTTCTGTTAGCGCTGTTGGTGGTATTTCTGGATGAGTTTTAGGTGGTGATCTGTTCCGGAGTCCTATGAGGTGGTCAGCCCATTGTTTTCTTTGTTCCTACTGTTAGTTAATCAGGTTTTTATGACGATCTTTTATCAGTTTCATCAGTGTTGATCTCTACCCGGATAGAGGCCTGGTTATCAGATATAATGTTCTGAGGTCTGTTTCTCCTGCACCTTGTTCTGTTTCAGTTTCCAGTGTTTCGTAAAACTGTCTTTCTTCGCACTCTTCGCTTCTTAGTTCAGGGCGATATACGTTAAATTCATCTGTTTCACCTCCCCTTCTCTCCTATTGCCTCCCACTTCCCGTAGGGAGCCATTCCTTGTCTTAACTTTTCATTCTCCTTACAACTACTGTACACGTCCTCTTAAACATTACCTTCGGAGATTTCCAACGTTCTTCCGCACAGGTTTCCTCAGTGATGCTACGTAGTGTCTCCGACTTTGCTCTGATGGCTGTAGTGAAAGGTATCCTTTATAGTTTCGTCCTTCAGTTTCTGAGTGTTGAACTTGAATTGTTGTCTGTCTCCAGTTGCTTTGAAAGCTTCCAGCTTGACCTTGAAGGTTCCTTGGGCTACATAATAGTCTGAGCAATGATATGATATGGCTCTTAGCTTTCCTATAACTACACGGGTGAAATGATTCTTTTTGTTATGTAATTTCCTTCAAAATCATTAGTATTCCAAAACAGTAATTTTATTCTGCTCGATGATCCACATAGTAATAATAGTAATTTAATACACATCGCTGAACAATTGGTATTCTTCGTATTCTACGGGCCGAGTCACCGCCTTCCTCGTTGACCAGTGTCAGCTGACATCGAATTAGGTTGGAAAAGAGTTGGGGGTGGTCACACCAAATCCTGGCATCATCCACGAAATCTTCGACATTTGGTTTGAGCCAGCCACATAAGGAAGTGGAGACTGCCGAGTTGAGTAACGCAGCAAGACTGATTCCGGCGAGCTCCAAATATGATGAGGAGAGAAAGTTGCTCAAACGTAGACTCACAAGAAGTCTTCGCAACGACCGTGAACAGTGGTTATCGACAAAAGCAAAAGATATGGAAAAGCCATCGGCGATAGGTAACACCAGAAAACTATTTAGGCTTATCAGGGAAATAGGTGGCAACAGGTTAATGATAAGTGAAACAATCTCCGAGAAAAATGGCACCATAATTAGCTCTCGAGATGGACAGCTGGAACACTGGAAAGAACACTTTGAGGAGCAATCCAACCGGCCTACAGCCACACTCCACCCACTGAGCATCCCGCACCTTCCTGAATGGTATATAAATACGGGTCCCCTGTCCCTGTCTGAGATTACAAAAACTCACTAATCTGAAATGAGGAAAAGCTGCGTTGCCTGCGTCCTATCTCCCGTATTAGGTGGTATAATAGGGTGAGTAATATTGAGGTTAGGTGTTGAGTACTAGGTAAAGAGGGGGAAATCAATCGATGATGTTGTGAATTTACATCATTTACGATGGTCAGAACATGTGTTACTCATGTCTAACCATCGCCTGCTTCCACGGGCTATGTTAGCTGGCATAGAATTGATGAGGTTGGAAAAGTTGGCTAGTGGTGGTCAAACCAAAACATGGCTTCACCAGTCAATGAAATCCACAACAGTTAGATTAAGCCAGCCACATAGGCAGGTAGGTGTAGACTTCCTGGTTTGGGTCATCGGGATGGTAAAAACCAATGAAGGCTGGAGACAATTGGTGATATGGTTCAAAATCGTTCTCAATGATGGCGCAGATGCATTCATTCACTCTTTGTGATTTGTCATATCCAAGGATGCCCACTCTCCCCATTCCTGTTTAACTTCATCATAGATATGGGAATGGAAGTATCCCTAACTGAACTTAACGACTTAGGAATCGACTTGCTACCAGGGAATAGTCTTATGGACTTAGAATATGCAGATGACATAGCCTTGTTAGGGGAGGATGCTGACAAAATGCAGACTCTTCTGAACACCTTGAGCAGCAATCTTCGTATGTTTGGCATGCGATTCGCCCATGTGAAATGTAAGATGCTGCTACAGGACTGGACTACGTCAACTCCTAGCTTAGTGATAGGGAGTGAAGTGATAGAACACGTTGACCACTTCACCTATTTGGGAAGTTGTATCAGCACCAACGGATTGATTGGTGACGAAATCTCAGCACGGATCTAAAAAGCTCGAGCTGCTTTCGCTAACTTACACCATCTGTGGTATAGGCGTGACATCCGGCTATCAACCAAGGGACGCTCCGTCCTTCTCTATGGCTCTGGAACATGGCCAATACGAGTTGAAGACATGAAAAGGTTGTCTGTTTTTGATCATAGATGTCTACGATCTCTTTCTCACGTTAGGTGGTTTAATAAGGTAAGTAAAGTTGACGTTAGGCGTAGAGTGTTAGGCAAAGAAGGAAAATCAATCGAAGAGGCTATAAAGTTACATAGATTGAGATGGCTAGGTCACGTGCTGCGCATGCCTAACCATCGCCTCCCCCGACGGGCATTACTAGCTGATATAGGTGCAGGTTGGAAAATAGAAAGTGGTGGCCAAACAAAGACATGGCATCAATCCATGAAATCCTTGACAGTTAAACTAAGTTAGGTAGGGAGATGCAGACTTCCGGGTTGGGGCCCTCGGGACTCTAAGAATCAATGGCTGTAGACAATAGGTGACATGGCTCAAAATCGTTGTCAGTGGCTTACGCAGATGTATTCAG